ACTAACTACAGTTCCCCCATTGACTATGATCTCTCCATGAAACAGGCTATTCAAGGAGTTCCAGATCAACTTCGACCTATCTTAATTCCCCGCATTTTCGCTGAAAAGTACCAACAAGTCAATTGCAATAGAAGATTTTTCACTGATGGATCACGCATTGATGGATCCACTGGCTTCGGCGTCTTCAATGGATACTCAACCGCCTTTCGGAAACTTCAGGAACCTTGTTCCGTTTATGTTGCTGAGCTAGCAGCAATCAATTTCGCATTGGGGATGATTTCCGATATGCCCATAGACCATTACTTCATCTTCTCGGATAGTCTCAGTTCGATTGAGGCTATTCGGTCGATGAAACAAGGTAGGCACTCATCTTATTTCCTTTCAAAGGTAATGGAGCAGATGAGTTTGCTGGTCGAAAGATCATATATGATTACCTTTGTATGGGTCCCCTCACATTGCTCAATCCCAGGCAATGAGAAGGCAGACTCTCTCGCAAAGGTGGGCGCACAACAAGGCGAGATTTATGATAGAAGAATTTCACATGATGAATTTTTCCCATTAGTACGTCAGAGTTCTCTTTTAAGTTGGCAAAACGATTGGACAAGTAATTCTCTTGGGCGGTGGTTACATTCCATTATTCCAAATGTTTCTTCGAGAGCGTGGTTCAAAGGTCTGGATGTAAGTCGGGGATTCATTCGAGTGATGTCAAGACTTATGTCCAACCACTACTCGCTAGACGCACATCTCTATAGAATAAACCTCGTTGACAGCAATATATGTAGGTGCAGAACCGGTTATGATGACATCGATCACGCAGTTTGGTATTGCCCGGGTAATGACGCCTCCAGAGCACGACTATTGGATACTCTAGTGGCCCGAGGTAGACAACCCTTCCGTGAAGTAAGAGATGTATTGGGAACACGTGATCTTCCCTACATGCAAGCGATCTACGAATTCCTTTGTTTGTCTGATGTTAGAGTTTGATGTGACCATCCCATCCTTTCCAAACAATTTCCCGCCATTGTGTCCCAGTCTTATTATCCTCCTGTTCCTGTGCTACTTGCCCCTGCCCAGCCAGGATTTGGTCATCCGTCCGAGAGTAGTATCTGAAGGAGGCTTCAGACACCAGTTTCCTACCTAGCTCCTTCCCATCGAAATTGTTACCCATTAACCTCGAGCCCGCCACGAGTAATTGGTACCCAATACTAACCTAGAACTACTGCTATTTAAAATGTAAAATCAAACATTACTGATTTTGGCTCCGCAAAGTGTCACACACGACTGAGCCTAGTAAATAAACGAACTAGTAAAAAAAAAAAAGATTTTTGTGCCCGTATTTTTACGTGTTCAACCTTAAATTGTGTGGCAATTAGAGAATCCAGCCGCCTCCAGCATGGTCTAGCTGCACCTTTACCGACTGAACAAAGGAAGTCCTTTTTTTCAAATGCACTGCAATGTATCCAATGTTGATGAGCGTTGATGAGCATAAATTTTCAAAGAAAATTGAAATATAATCGAATGATACCCGGAAAAAAATAACCATACAATTACCATAACATAAGATACAATCACAACATAATTCATTGCCAACAATCGATCCTATTGTACGTATATCATACAAGAAAATTAAAAATATTGTTATTACAATAGATCTTCAATACGTCCTATGTAGTATGAATTTTCAACAATAGAAAAACAATAAAATTAATGGTAAATGGCTCATGTTTGTTCGGGAAAAAGTGTTTTTTGTACGGTTAAGATACATAACAACCCCCTTGGTCTGTTGCAGATTTCTCCATTTACCATAAATTCTATTGTGAAAATAATTAATTCTGTGGTTATTGTAACGTTGTGGACAGTACGATTTTTTGTAAATACAATCAATTTTATTTTATGGTTACAATACATTTCATTGTACTTCTGCGGTTCTTTTTTTTTCACGGGTAATCGAAGCCTATGAGTCAACTGTATGACTACCATAATGAGGAATCAATTTAAAATTAATCGATTAGTTTCATTAATATTCAATTCAAACCAATTAGGTCCTTAGTAGCATTGATCGATTCTCTTCATCGACTTTCTCTTTATCACTAACTTGGCTACAAAACCATTGTGGTTTGCATGTTTGTCGTATCAGATGCTAGAGGTAGAGAATAGTTTCTTTTAACAAACTGTGTGTTGAAAATAATTGGAAATCTTTTACATGGCCGTGGGGACGCAAAGAGAAAACCGACGAAGAAAATCTGTCAATGTTACTTAGGCACTAATCTGCTTGAATTACTTCTATTTATCGAAAAAGTCCCTAAGTATGGCGAACGGCTAGCTCAAGGTTAACAACCAAGGAATCAAAAATATCTCCAAATTACAAAATGACAAGCGATCAACGAGCCGAACGATAACGCTTTATCATAAATGGAAAGCAATAATGATATAATCTTCTTCCTTTGTTTTCATGACAAACAACAATTGCAACACAGCTTGCTCGGGCCGGTAGGAAACGACCAAATTGTAGGCAAGCCGTTTCACGAAGTAAAGCCGCAGATGATACATGTATGGATGGATGTATGTTGATGGTATTGCGCGTTTCACACCAAATTGGACTAATAAGCGCGTTTTCACTTATTAAAAAGTGTGATAAAACTCCAAGTTTACGTCTAATCGTCTTGGTTTCTTCGGTGTAGTTATTTCTTATGATACAAGCAATAAGTGCTCCGAAGACATCAAAACGATTGGACGGAAACGTGCACTTTTATCGCACTTTTTGCATTTTTGGGACAGTGCAGTTTCAGATGTAATCAGCAATATGTTGATGGAAAATTGTTTGTTATGTCTTTTATCGCTTCCGATCAAGCTATGTCCTCAACCATGTAGGTGATCTGGATGTAATGTCGGCCTAAATGCCCCTAATATGGGACCATACATAAATTCAGCAATCGACTAAATTTTCAATAGTGACCAAACATATCCATTTATTTGCATATCAAGCGAAAACGTAGCCCTATATTGTCGCGAAGCGTTATGGTTCTGAGACGCTCGATGACCCTGGAGGGATCGTGTTTGCTTACTGAGCAGAAAATCATGGGTTTAATCCAAGCCCTCCGTCATGACTCTTAAAATTCATTATCACTAAACAAAATTAATATGTTCTTTCGATAGCCGGCTATCGAGAGATTAAATAAAAAAACAAATAAACAATAAATACTTTTGGTTGCATCGCCAACTTGAGGTGAATCCTAACCGAATACCCTACCCAACCCTCCAACTCCGTAGCACTTATGAGGGTGTCGCTAAGTCGGTGGCCTCTCGTTAAGTAAGTACTACATCAACATTTCCTTCCCTATCCCTAGTTATGGTAAATATGGGCGTGGCCGGGAATAGCGACTTGTTTAGATTGGAAGCAATGTTTACTCCTCAGCATTATTCCTTAAAGTAGTCTAACTGAGAATTTCAGAAGAGACGTGAGTGTCGCTAGTATCCAATCTACGAAGTATATCATAACAACGCTAACGCTAACGCTAATAGTGACCAAACATATCCATTAGTACCGTCCCAATGACGCGTTCATCTAGATAAAATTGATAAATAGCAGATTTTTAGCGATGGGCCCAATCTTAGAACCATAAACATTAGAGCCATTTCCCCTATATTGCAACAAAGCAGGCAAGCAATACCTATTTCATTATCCTTCTACCACTCCGATCGAGTTTTTTTTGCAGAGAGAGTTTGTCGTGGTAGGTAGTCGTAGCAAGCGTTTTGTCTGTTGGTTGCTTAATGTGTTTGGATTCGCAGTAAGCAACACAAACACTCTTCCAATAGTAATTCTCATATAAACAGTGCAGTTTCAACGGGCGATCGAAAGGTGCCTACATTGGATAATCAAGATATGATTTGGAATGGAATGCGCTGTATAAAGCAAAATGCATGATTTGATCCACCATGATGTAGATAGTTGTAAAATTCCTCCTTCGCTACAATGATTACGAGATTTTGAAGTACCTACTAGCTTCAAAATTCCGTTTGATATATGATGTTCACTAACAGTAGATGGGTTCTTCAATGTTATAAATATTCTTCACTAGTCTTTGGACCATAGTTGACCTTGCGTTATGCATACTGTTCTCACTTACTTTAAGCTGTCATCATATTCGTTTTAAAAGCATCATATGATTTTCGGATGCACGGATCCTCAATGAGACCATGGAACCATCGAACCAACCACCATCAAAACATAAACAAATTTCAGAAGCAAGGCGTTTTTCATCTGTTCAAAGTCCTACCAATGATAATGTGATCTAACCGGAGGAGTTCCTATGAGATATTTACACTGAAGGCTTTCTCTCCTGTATTACGCTATGCATTATAAGTAGTAACTAGTTGTTGTAGCAAATCAAGTACAAAATTACACCTAGGAAGCATCCCAACAATGTAGTTGACGGGAAAGCGAAACTGAAAGCTGATATTGATGGCGCAAATGAAATGAAAAAAAAAAAATACGATTTATGCATGAAATCAGAACGAAAGATGAACGGGTAACGAGGACCACGGCACGGCTCACGATTAAGTATTTAGTCATGTTTTCTTCGCTACTTGTTAACAATTTTTGCTTCATCGTTACTTAGGTTGCACAATCTTGTATGAGCATTTCGGGATGCCCAATAAATTTAGCATTTTTGAATTTTATACTCTTCGCGTTACGAGGAAAAATCTCAGTTATGCTTTCCTTATGCAAAACGTGGAAGGGAAAACTGTTATTCTCTAGTCAAAAAAAGAAGAAGAAGAAGTAATTAAATTTTGATCAAGATTACTCAAATTGATTGCTGTTTTTTTAGGTTTTTATTAAATTTTATTTTTTCACACAACCCTGCCTCGTGGATTTGTTTTTGTTTTGATTGTTTGATTCTACCGCAAAAAAGACCGCTCACCGCTTTGAATCTCTGTGTGTTTGAGTGGAACCGGAAACAAAATGCAAGGAAATGAAACAAACCAGGTGTTTTGGGTAGTTTTTCTTCAAAAGAACTAAATTTATTGGGCACTCTCTCTCTCTCTCTTTCTCTCTAGCGAGTCGACTAGCAATCATTGTTATTGAGTTAATTAATGGTTTCAATGTTTTCAACGGACAGATTGAAAATTGTTAATGTTAGTTTCATCGTTATTGTTTGTTTTGATTATACGGTTAAGTGGTTTATGCTCTAAATATTTGGGTAATAAATAATTTTGTTTACGTAGAAACTAGAATAAAGTTTGAGAAAAATGTGAGATCAATGACATTTTAACGTGGCGATTCGCGTCGAGATCAAATGTTTACTTTCCCGGCTATATCTTTGGCATTATTCGTAATACTTTGTTCGGAACGAACTTAAAACTTGTAAATGGTAATATAGAGTGGGTTATCCGACGGATTAAATGTACGTGTGGTGAGTATGTCAAATGGGAAGTGCATTGTGAGCAGAAGTAACCGTGTATGGTGTTCATGGTTGGTTTGTGTAAGTACGACATGAACGTTGATGCTCTTATCAGTGAGTATTGTTTTCGATTGCACATGTGTTGAGTAATGATTGGTACACGGTAAAAATTTGCGATTAGATTTGGCTACAAATCTAACAAAATCGATTACCGCATCCATCATTTTGTTTTGATTCTATTCTACGCTTGCTAGATAGATGACAGAGCATGTCGTTTTGAAGTGTTTGTTGTGTATACGTGTTACCGTTAATGTGATTCTTGCATTTTATATTGTGTACTTGTAAGTGGATAATGTATCTTCAATGTGTATATGATAGCTTCAAAGTTGGTTGTTTGGTAATGTCAGATTTCCATGTGTTTTGTCATAATTGCAACATTTAAAAGCACGAATCAAAATGTCATTTCACCTCATGCTTCGTGATTTACAGTGTTGAGAAAATATGCTAAATACTTTCATGTTGCCAAGAATGTGGCGCTTCTCGTAATGAGCAAAATAAGACTACGAAAACAGGTCATAAAAAGCAAATTTTGATTCGAAAAACCGTTTTCCTACGGACATGCAATTTGAACACGTTCAAAGCTTAAACTAAATTTTGCCATAAAATGAACACCTTCGAAATCCCTGGAAGCATTCCTGAATCAATGAATATCAATTTTTCTTTCCGAACATTCTCTTCTGCACTATGCAACAAAAAAAAAAACCTTTCCAGAATTGCCTTGTTTCCTACCATAATTTTCAGCTCGCCTCCTCATTCGTATCTCACTTCGGGCCTGATTCTTAAGAAATGCATTGCAACTTTTTACCAAATCAGCGAGAAGCGCTTCTTCTTGGGTACATGATTGACGCTGATCTTGCGCAGCTTTTCCGGCGCAACACCCTTGCGTGGTTTGAACAAATTTACCTGCAGACCGACTTTGATCTTCTTGGTGAGGGCACCCTGCGGGAAGACTGCCTGCACCTGCGGCACCACGGTGCTGGAGACCATACCGCCCTCCGGTCCGATGGCGTGCACCTCCTGGCGGATGCGCGAGATGACCGCAAAGTACTGCGGGAAGTCGTAGGTGACGTAGCGGCAGATTCGGCCACCACCTAGCTCGTCCAGTTGGGCCAGATCTGAAATGGCAAGGTAAAACAAGTGGCCATTTGTGAACAATTGGATGTGAATTTCAAAGGCATATGCTTGAAACTCTGAATGTTCCATCATTTCGGATATTTAGGTGATAGCTGATTGATGACTTGTATTAGATTGTACTATCGTCGGTCCCAAGCTAATCGATGCACCCCTCGAAACATAGGAAAATCCACGAACCCCTCATTTTATCTGTCAAACTTTCATAGCAAATCAAAACAAACATAGTGTAGTACTAGAATTTCGATTAGAATGGAGTACGTTAATCGATTTGCTTGGGACCAATAGGCTAGTCAAGTAGTGATAATACCATAGAGGTAACTCTAAGACAAGTAGGTCCCGAAGAAACGTGCTCAACTTTTTGGCTCACCTCTGGTACTATCTTCGGTCCCAAGCTTGTCGAATCACCCCTCGAAACATAGGAAAAACCAATAACCCCTCATTTTATCTGTCAAACTTTCATAGCGAATCAAAACAAACATTGCGTAGTACTAGAATTTCGACTAGAATAGGGTACGTTAATCGTTTGCTTGGGACCAATAGGCTACTAAAGTGGTGAGCCAATTTAAAATCGTTAGTTTCGTATTGATTGTTGATAATACTCTCTCCCGATGAGAAAGGTGACTAAAACCATTCGTGGCATTATTATTTAAGCGTGTTATCTATTCATAACTTTAGTAAAAGCAAAGGTGTGGCGGACAGTATTAGCATAGAGGTAACTCTAAGACCACTGGGTCCCGAAGAAAATCATTATTATTTTTGGCTCACTCAGTACCAGAACAACGGTCCCAAGCAGTCCCAAGCTATTTCACTCACCCCTGCATGTTCTGCATGAATCCACACACCCCTGATGTTACCTGTCAAACTTTCATAGCGAATCAAAACAAACATAGTGTAGTAATAGAATTTCAACTAGAATAGGGTCGTTAATCGTTTACTTGGGACCAATAGGCTACTAAAGTGGTGAGCCAATTTAAAATCGTTAGTTTCGTATTGATTGTTGGTATTAGCAACAATCAATACGAAACTAACGATTTTAAATTGGCTCACTACTTGACTAGCCTATTGGTCCCAAGCAAACGATTAACGTACTCCATTCTAGTCGAAATTCTAGTACTACACAATGTTTGTTTTGATTCGCTATGAAAGTTTGACAGATAAAATGAGGGGTTATTGGTTTTTCTTATGTTTCGAGGGGTGAATCGATTAGCTTGGGACCGAAGAGAGTACCAGAGCTGAGCCAAAAAGTTGAGCACGTTATTTCGGGACCTTCTAGTCTTAGAGTTACCTCTATGGTATTAGCTTTATCATGCATTCTTACCGGCCTACCATGAATTCATGACATTACGTTCAGACTGTAGTTGATATCGGTATAATATGAAATCAAGAAAGCCTATATCATAGAGGTAACTCTAAGACAAGAAGCTCCCGAAGAAACGTGCTCAACTTTTTGGCTCAGCTCTGGTACTATCTTCGGTCCCAAGCTAATCGATGCACCCCTCGAAACATAGGAAAATCCACGAACCCCTCATTTTATCTGTCAAACTTTCATATCAAATCAAAACAAACATTGCGTAGTACTAGAATTTCGACTAGAATGGGGCACGTTAATCGATTTGCTTGGGACCAACAGGCTAGTCAAGTAGTGAGCCAATTTTAAATCGTTAGTTGCCACCGGTTAGTAATCACCCATCAGTCCAATTTAGAGGCGCGTCCACCTTCAGAGATGTGGGTGGGACAAGGAACTATAGTCTCAGAACTTTTTGAATATTTTTGGAATCGTGAACTGATTCCGGAGATGTATGGCCGGAACATGTTCTGGTTTGAAAATGCCATGGAACTTAATGCGGCCTGAAATGAATAAAAGCTATCATGTGACGCATCAAATGACATAATTATTTAAAACCCTGTTAAATGGTACACAGTTCGAAAAAGTAGTGTAAATTTCTGTTCAACATGATGCACATAAATTGAGCGTCATATATCATATAAGTTTACATTATCTATCATGTAAAGTTCTGACACATTTCATGCAATGTAGCAAATATTGTATACAAAAGCCCATCTTTGTAAAAAACATTGTTTACAAGTTGCTCGGTTGCGTGAAATGAAATACAAGTTTACGTGAATGAATGTTACATCTTAAATAAAATTCAGAATTTTTATCTGTGTAGTAATAACTAAAGCACCGGACTACAGTGGCCCATCTGATCAGAAGGGAATGATTTGAGCTTTGGAGAGGATTAATTCAGGTTTTTAAACTTCTCTTTAAACGCCCCAGAAACACCAATGTTGCCTGCTGAGCAGTTGATTGAGCATGATCATAAGACATCAGCGCATTGAACCATTGATAACTTTCGATCCTTGCATTTAATCAAAAAGTAGTCTTCAGCAAAGTTGTAGCTGGGAGAATTTTCTACAAGGACAGTTGAAAGTTTTTGAAGCAGACCGATATGGTGAATTATTAGATAGACATGAACAAAAATCTTGGTTTTATCATAGTAATTTCCATACAAACTTCAAATGTTTTGTGCCATCTCAGTTTCTCACCAAATGAGTTCAAATTTTGAAAGGTTAGTCAGGATCCCATTTGGAATCGTTTAAGTATTGTGGAGCGAAAATTTCAAATTTTGCATCACTTTACTGTCCCACCGATGTATTTTTTTGTGTAGGACATGTCCAACGTGTCCCCCTCTGCACAGTGGGAAGAAATCAAAAATAGTGGGACATGGCTTTTTTGTGACGAAACTATTGAGTGTAGCATTTTGATGTCTTTTAAATGTTTCTTCATTTTTGAGTACTTTTATTGAGAAGTGTACATTTTTTTTATTAAGGGGGGTATACACTAAGATAATAAAAAACTTTTTTATGTCTATGAAACTTTTTCGAAGACGTCAAATTTCTATCTCTCAAGTGGACGAAGTTACAGGGTGAAAATGTAATACTAAGGCTTGTACCCCCTTAAAAACCATTTCTTACCATAACTTTTTAGTTTGATTTTTTTTTATTTTTTTTTTCAATGTTCTACAAAGTTGTAAGTGCTCTAAAAATGGACGTTTTTGCCCGATGAAGCAAATCGCTATCGCTTCATGTAAAGGAGTTACATACGTATTTATATTTTTCAACACTAATTTTAAAGGGGTGCATTAGACTGATGCAAATTTTGAAATTTTCGCTCCACAGTGCTCATACGGTTCCAAATCGGGTCCTGATTAGTCTGCCAAAATTTGAACTCATTTGCAAAGAAACTGACTTGGCACAAATCATTTGAAGTTTATATGGAAATTACTATGGGAAATCAAAACTTTTTGTTCATTGTCTTCTTACCATTTTCCATATTGCACTGTTCAAAAATTCAAAAGCTATACTTATGGAAAATTTTCTCAGCTTCAACTTAGCAGAATATAGTTGTTGAGCCAAACGTCAAATAAAATAGTTATTAATTGTTTAAGAGATTGATAATCTTATGGCATGATCAAGCAGCTGTTTTGTGAGCAACACTGTATCTTGCAGTGTGACATAGTAGCCATGATTTTTGTGCTCTATTCCAAGCGCCAGAAACACCAATGTTGCCTGCTGAACAGTTGATTGAGCATAATCATAAGACATTAGTGGCTTGAATTATTGATAACTTTTGATGCTAACATTATATTGAAAAGTGGTTAAGGACAAAGTTGTAGCTGAGAAAATTTTCTTCGAGCTCAGTTATCATTTTTTAAAGCAGAACGATGTGGTAAATTGTTAGATGGATATGAACAAAACATTTGGTTTTCCTATAGTAATTTCCATATAAACTTCAAATGGTTTGTGCCAAGTCAATTTCTTATCGAATGAGTTCAAATTTTGGGAGACTAATCAGGACCCGAGCACTGTGGAGCGAAAATGTCAAAATTTGCACCAGTCTAGGGTGCATCTTGCAGGTTAACCGGTAGAAGCAGCTAAACTCGACGTAATTTCGTGCAGCAACTTATACCCTACTCTTACATATACAATTCATAGGGGGATCCAAGAGGATGCCTAATGAATTTTCTAATATAATACCTCAATGTTTCGTTACGTTTTGCTGTTTTCATGAGCATTTTTCCAAGTATGTACATTAGAATGCCGAGGTCTACATCGGGATTTTAAGTAAGTATGTTCTTCCGTGGATCAAAGAACAGTATGGTCCGAAGCCAAATGTTGTATTTCAACCAGATGGAGCTTCGTGCCACACCTCGAACCGCACTCAGAAGTGGTTGCAGGAATATCTTCCGTTCTGGGCGAAGGATATGTGGCCGCCATCCAGCCCTGATCTTAATCCGCTGGATTACTCAATATGGCGCGTCATGAAGGCCAAGGCCTGTTCTAAACGCCACTCGAGTACAGCAAGCCTCAGACAAACATTGACCCGATACAGACTACATTATTAGAACCAGTCGTGCATTCCGGAAGCGTGTGGAGGCCGTAATTGCAGCAGGTGGAAAACTAAATTTCGAAAACGAAATTTTTGAGATTTTTTTTAATTTTGACATTGCTCGCATACGATAGCTTAGATGCTTTCAATGACCACCCATTCATATTATTGCCAAAAACGGAACGTACGGTACGAGATGTCCATGTTTCATCCATTTATTGGATTCTGAAGCATCGTGTTTAAATCATCGACTTAAACAGACTCGATGTTTTCACAATCATCTTGCCCCTTAAATGCTGCACAGTAGGCCTGGTCGTTTTGGTATGTGCAACGCATCTTAGATGTGAAACGTATATCAAATAGCCAAGAAAATGACAGATCATTTTCCAGGATGCTTTCAAGAACCGGCTGTGTTGGTTGGATTAGATAAGCTTAGGAATATGACCGCGATACCATATTTGAAAAAAACAAAAAAAATCAAAAATGTCCCTGGAAAATTGTCAAGGCCCTTGAATGATCTTACAGGAAGAACTTTTCTGGGAAATTTGATTAAATTCGAGGTTATCTCAAGGGCATTCTGTAAAGAGGTCCGTAGAGGCCGAAAGTAGGTTCAGTAGTCGGAAGTCAAACTTCCGAACTTTAATGTAGTGCTGGCGCCACAAAATAACCTTACTCACCTTCCGGCTCGAAGCAGTCGTTCAGCACATCGTGGATGATCTCGTCCGACATGTCGATGTTGTGCTCCCGCCAGGTTTCACCGTTATCCGAACGCAGAATCACAATCTCACGTTCCTTTCCGCGGAGTGATGCAAAGTGCGGTACCTCCATGATGACCGGTCCGAGGAACTTGGCTCCTACCGGGCCCAACTCCAGCACCCGACTGGCCAGCGCTTCGCCCTCCATCAACGGTGGCGGATGCAGCGTACGCTGTGGCTTCACGTAGCGACAGGTGATTCTGGTAGGTTGCGCAGCCGAACGCGGCGGCACAATGATGCGCACTCCACTGTGACGACATCCACGCATCGCTCCTCCACGGGCGTCCACCAGGAACGATACCAGGAAGCTGCAGAGGAAATGATAGCAAAGCAAAGTTATACGAATTACTTGAATTATTGAGCGGTGAGAAGAGGGATACTCACTTCTTCCAGTGTAACTTTCTGTTAGTTCGCATAGATCCGGCAGCGTGGTTAGAATTGTTAGAGTGTTAAACCTCAACCGAGAAGAAGGGTTGCTGGAGGAAGCAAACAACGTGGCGTGTACTTACCCGATATGTGACTGCCGCTCGATGTTGATGTTGTCGGCAAAGTCAGTAACGGAAATACCGGACTGTACCATCGACATGTGCTGTGGGCTGATGGAGTCCTCCATCGCCGTCGGCGGAAACTGGTGCGAATCCGAACTCTGAGTCATCTTGTTCGAATCGTGCCGCTCGTCACGGGTAACGTCGATCGGGAGCGAGTCGTCACCGAGCGATTTCATCTCATCGACGGTCAGATAGCGATACGGTTGATCCGAGAGAACGGTATCTTCGCCTCCTTCTTCCTCGGAGTCGGACATGAACGTTTCATGCATGGCTTCCGGAGCGACGACGCGGTACTTTTCCTCTGAAGGTGGCTGCTCCGGAGCGGTCTCCTTGTCGGTAACGGACTTCAGCGAATCCAGTACGCTGATGTAGCCCAGCTTCTGGGCGATCTTGAGTGACGTTTGACCACTCTGTAATAAGGAGGATGGTAAGAATTTTGAGATTTTCAAGGGAGTTGGGAGAACCTACATTAGTAATCGCATTAGGATCGGCATTGTTTTCGAGCAAGATGTTAACAATATGGCAATGCCCTTGCTGGGAAGCTTGATGGAGCGGCGTGTAACCGATTCCAGTAGGAGCGTTGATGTCTACGCCCTGCTGGATCAGGTAGCGTACCATGTTTGCCTGGCCAAAGTGAGATGCGACGTGCAGGGGAGTGTAGCCGGCCTTGGTGGCAGCCTGTGTGTCGGCGCCATGTTTGACCAGAACTTGTGCAACGTTGACGCGATCTTCCTGTGCGCAAAGATGAAGTGGCGTAAGACCGTTCCGTGCCTGATGATCTGGATTGGCCTTGTTTTCGAGCAGCAGAGCCGACATTTCATGATGCCCTTCCTGTGAGCTCAGATGTAGCGGAGTGAATCCGGCCTTACTTTCGGCGTTGGCATTTGCACCGTACTGCAGCAGTGTAGTAGCAATGCTCATCTGGTTCTTACGAGCGGCAATGTGCAACGGTGTGTGACCATTCTTAGCCGTTGCGTGTGGGCTAGCACCCTTTTCTAGCAGCAGTAATGCTACGTTTTGATTATCGTAATGGCTGGCGACGTGCAGCGGAGTAACGCCGTTCTTGCCTTGGGCATCGACCGGAGCATTCTTGGTGAGGAGTAGCTCGGCAACTTTGATGTGGCCATACTTGGCAGTCAAATGCATCGGTGTGAAGCCCTTCTTTGTCGAGGCATCAATCTGGGCACCATTCTCCAACAGAGTTCCGGCAACCTAGAAGTAAAATTTCAATTCGTTTATCCAGGAGATGTTTTGGCACAATTCGTGGATAAAAGTTGACCAGACTGTAACGGGATGGTCCGCGTACAAAGGTGCCTTCGGTAATTCAATCTGGTTGTTTAGCAGTTAGTACTTGCTTACAGTCCGGTTAGGTCTAGGATTAGTCATTTTAGTCTCTTCGGTGAATCTAGCATGCTTCCAAGCAAAACAAAACGAAAAATGAGGAAAACAAAATATAACTACCTGAGCTATGTTTCCCTTCTTCTTGACTCCAATCATTTCTGTCTATCGAAGCGGTTCAACCCTACTGAAATTGGCTGATGAATGATTAAACGAAACGAACACATAAGCACCAGAAAGTCCAGTAAAAGGAATGAAATAAAGGAAAAGTCTTTGGATTTACCAATAATTTACGATTTTATTCGAATGCACTAAAAATAGGTAACAGAAAATAACTAAAGAGAAATCATATTGGATGGGGTTTTAGAGCGAGAGAAGAATTGTTTAGCTTATCAAACACCGCAACATCAACAAATCCGGCATGGATTACAAACTATCCTGATCTTCTGTCTAACTGTTTTGTGCGTTTCCTGCTGGGCAGGTCGTTTCGCTTAAATCTATCTTTCACTGCTTACGAACTTAACCAAAAACAATAAAAAAAAAAAAACTGAACAGATGTGTACGATCGAACCAAAGTTGGCCTAGAAAAGTAGCACCTATATAGCCGTTGGCCCTAGATAAAGTACTCCTGATGCCGTATCCAGAACAACTGCATCAGATAGACGGTATCTATGTGGTCCATAAGCTTCTTAGCTACCAGATTCTTTACCTCGTCCTGCCCCTCCTTGGCAGCGATGTGCAGCGCCGTGTACATGTCCTTGGTGACGGCATCGACCTGGGCACCGTGCTGCAGCAGCAGCATGACGATGTCAACGTTGCCCAGCCGGGAAGCGATGTGCAGCGGAGTCTGCTGTTCACGGGCCCGGGCGTCGACCTGCGCTCCGTTGCGCAGCAAGATGCGAATGATGTCCGTCTGTGTGGTGCGAGAATAAGACAGTTTAAAATGTGTTGATAGTAGGTATGGTCTTAGCTGCTCAGCGGAATTTGCTTGTCTGTATTATGGGTTGGATACAAGTGGATTTCTACAATCGGCAGTGTGCATTCTTGAGAGAATTTCAAGGGCAAGTCTAGAGGATCTCTCATACTCTCTCGTTCAAAGTCTTGAGCAGAAATCGTCTAGACCAGTTTAGAGTGTTTCGAAACAAAGTACAAGGACCTTCTAGGAACGGCCCAGAAAACCAGTAAATGTTGTACAAGTCTAAGTCATGGTCTAAGAACCCTCATAAAACTAAATGGTTCCGTGGGTGGTAAAACTATACTGAGATTAATAACAACACAGTGGGATTACCTGAAATTTCAGCAAGAAAGCAATTTCCTACCCGCATTACATTGCAAATTCTGCCGGCCCTTCTCCGATCAATTCTCGTAAAACATTTCGAACAACGTCTCTCATCCTCGGAACTTACCTGATTAGCTCTGGCCGCCAGATGGAGCGGAGTCTCTCCGCGCACCGTCGGTACATCCGGACTGGCGTCGTGCTGCAGCAAGTAGATAACGATGTTCATGCAGCCCATGAAGGAAGCCACGTGCAACGGCGTCAGGCCACTTTCCGTAGTGGCGCTGATACTAGCACCGTGCTTCAGCAGCAGCTCGACGACCTTGATGCGGTTCTTCTTGCACGCAATGTGCAACGGAGTGAACCCGTTGAGTGCCCGTGCATTGGCATCGGCATTGCGATCCAGCAGAAGCTTCGCCACACGGACATGACCACAGTGGGCGGCTACGTGCAGTGCCGTCAGGTAATCGACGGTGACTTCGTCGACCGGTGCACGGTGATACAGCAGAATTCGGGCTGCATCTACGTGTTCGCCCTGAGCAGCCATGTGCAGCGGTGCCAAGCCGTTCTTCGTTTTGGCGCTGATGGGAGCTCCACGCTCCAGCAACATATCGACGACCTGCTCATGACCGGAGCGTGCGGCGCAGTGCAGCGGTGTCAGACCATCACGGGTCTTGCTTTCAATGTTGGCGCCCTTTTCCAGCAACAAAGCTACCATATTAGTTTTGCCCCACTTGGCGGCGACATGCAGCGGGCTAATGTTATGCTTGGCAGCGTAGTTCACATCAGCGCCCTTCTGGATTAACAGATTGGCCATAGCCTCGTTGCCGTAGTGCGATGCGATGTGCAGCGGCGTAAAACCGGACTTGGATGTAACGTCCGGATTGTGGTCGTTCTGCAAATAACAGTCATTAGTTTAGAAACCTTAAAATTTTCGATATATTCAGATGCACAAACCTCCAGCAGCAGCGTTGCGGCTTTAACGTCGTCCTTCTTCGCTGCGATATGCAATGCCGGCAGTCGGACCTTACCACGGGTGTCACTTTCAAGCAATACGGCCACCACCTTATCGTGACCTTGCTGCATAGCAACGGCCAACGGAGTAAATCCGTCCTCGGTGGCCAAGCTCTGGTTAGCGCCATTGGACAGCAGCAGGCGCACTACCGAGTCGTGGTTCTCTTGGGCAGCCATGTACAGCGGTGTGAAGCCATTTTGCGACTGCACGTTAACCGAAGCATTTTTCTGGATCAGCAGTTTGACCACTTCCTCCTGGCCGGCCAACGAAGCGATGTGCAGTGCGGTGTTGCCCTTCTTGGTGGCCGCGTCCACGGTCGCACCTCGAGCCAGCAGCTCCGAGACCACGGCAACGTGGCCATCCTTCGATGCGAGATGTAGCGCATTCAAGCCATTCTGAAAAACAGAGCGCGAAAGTATATGAAAATCAGGTCACAAGTACAGTTGTACGCCAAGGAGGCATAAATCAATTCCTTCATCCGCCCGCGCCCACCATTCCCCTCTACTAGTTGATTGACGCCGTCGAGCATTGTTTTCACTTTCATTTCAGTAGACCATAACCTAGCCCCGTCTCGGGAAGCCGGCAAGGACTTCGTGTTTTCGAACAAGATGTCACTGCGCATGTTAGCTGCGAGCTCTGGCTTCGACCGCGACGACATGCGCAGTTCCGGCTTTCCCATCGGGAGTTGTCGAAACCAAGGAATCGTTAATCTGCTAGACGGCCTCAGATTTAATATTCATGCAAACTCATGAGGTTTACCTCTAGCAAACATTTCTCGTCTACACATTAAACATTCTTTTCTCTGGCAAATCTTTCAACAGTCATCGTCCCTCTCAAAGGCGAGTTTTGCTGGAAAAGGGGGGCGTGGTGGAGGTCGGTCGCATGTATCGAGAAAAGTATCGACAGGGTGACGTCACCTACGATGCTGATGTGGAAAGAAAAGCGCACAGGTGGTGGTGCGAGGCACGCGGGCCGGATAAATATTTGCCGATGGCAAACAGAGTGCGATCGCGTTTCAACAACGGACGGTCGTATGGATGACGATGAGAATGTCTTACTTACCGCATTGCTAGTATTGATGTCGATGTTATTTTTAAGATGCTCTAAAACTTTTTCTAGATTGCCTGCTCTAGCTGCGCGCAGAAACGAGGTGTTTCCGTCAGACTGCAAAGGAGAGGAAAAACGAGAAAATGGATATCGATTAGATTCTGTTCTGGCGCTGCTGGAAGTGATGATTTTATTTTGAACATTTTATAGTCGTAAAATCTGCTGTTGATTTGAGCAAAATATAAAGTTTGACATCAACTCCGTTCGGTTGCTTTTTTTTTGCAGAAGGAATGTTCTTTTTGTTGTCTTTTTCGGTGCTGTTTTCTGAATCTGAAATGTACTGCAGTGGTATTTCCGTCCTTTGGTTGACGTAGGAAATCCGGGTTGTGTTTTTTTTTTCGTTCAAACTGAAGGTTGGTACTGCACTATGGCATTTTGCATGATTAGCATACTGACATTTTTTTTTCTGCTTGGTTTGAAAACCTAAAGCATTTTTACATTTTGTGTGGCAACCCGAGCAAAGCTGGAGATCAAATTGATATGAAAATTTGCTGTTGTAATTTGGAATACTCCGGTTGATCTCACGGTTGGCTGACTTAACGGTTAACACAGAAAAAATGAGAGCAACATTTTACACTGCTGTATCAAACGGAAAACTAATCCTGCTATCAATGAAATCAATTTAATTACTGAATTTGTATTCATAATATGAAACTGAATACGGGCCTGGCGTAAATGGTTGGCATCCATGCTTCTCACGTTGAAAAGCTTGAGTTCAATTCTCACCCCTAACTAGTCACGAATGTCCTGTTTAACAAAACAGTTTGACAATAATCGTTAGTTCAATTTTCAACAACACGTTTACAGCAGAACTTGAAGTTAAGTTGCTGAAACACAGAAACTGAAAGCAGAATATGTAATCAGCAAACTTTAATATCGATGCGCGATGGTACTCAATGCTCTTGGATTTCGAGGAAATTTTCAAACCGTAAAGATTCTAAATTGATGAGAAATTCGACAGTTACATTGTGTTATTTTCGTATCACTCTAGATACATGGATTGACATTGCCAAGTCACACTTTCAGAAATGTCTGCCTATTTCATTTTTTAATTAGCTCCTCAATTATATCAAAATTTATGGGAGAAGTTAAGAGAGTATCGTGGAAGGTTAATAGTGAACTCAATTGCCAATTGCCTTGCAGATTAAGGTAAATTTCCTGAATATCAAAAATTATTAGTGGGCTTCAGAGAAATTCAGTGAAATTTAAGAAGCACAAGAAACTTCATTGTAGCTAAGAAAATCATAGGGAATGCTTCAGAGAAGTTTAGTAACCTTAGAAAGGCTCTTCGGAGTCGTTCAAAAGAGCCTCAGGGAAACTTAGAGTAATTTTAGAGAAATTCAACCCAACCATAGAGTAGTTAAAGGTACTTCTAATAAGTTTGGTGACCTCCAAAATTGTCAGGAAATCTTGAAAACCCCTTTAGAAACCATTATTAAATTTAAAATTTAAGAAAATAACCGGGAGTTAAGAGATCATCAACTACTTTTAAAATAACCATTAAACCCAAAACAATTATATGAAGTTCAAAAATGCTTTGAAACCAAAAACGAAGTTCTGAACACCTCAAATAATTAAAGACTGGAACACGCAAAAATTGGTCGACAAAAAATCGTTTCTTTCAGTCAAAATTCAAATAGCTCAATTCATATATTTAAAGGAAAAAATGTTCGTTTCTTCTTTTGGTTTGCCAAATGCGAACTGCCGTGCCTTCCGCTTAACCCCTTCCATTAAACTTTGCACAGTGGTCTCATCGACCATATTCGCCGCCGAACGCCCGTTAGATTTAAACTGCTGCTCGTATTCCATGGATTTATAAGTTTTTTTTTTAATTCCGTTTGACCAAGGCCCAATACCGTTCGATAGAGCGGAGTTCTGGGCTGTTGGGAGGGTTGTGGTCTTTGTGGTCCACGTTGTTCGCATCGTACCACTCGATTGCCTTTTTCCCACAGTGGCAGCTCGCCAAGTCCGGCCAGAACAGCACAGGTCTATTATGTTGCTTTAGGAATGGTAGCAGCCGCTGTTCCAGGCACTCCTGGACGTAAATCTCTTGCTTGTTGATTCCCGTAGTAATGAAAATGCCGCTTTTTAGACCACACGTGCCTGTCAGACGAGATAATTTTACGGGAACTTCGATAGTTTGATGGTTTTGAAAATTTAAGCTACCTTCCCTTTTCCTGATGCGGTATAACACTCCTGTCCCGGAAGCTGCTTGAAATCCGCCTTCACATAAGTTTCGTCGTCCATGACGAAACAGTCAAACTTTGTGAACAGATTCGTAGACACAGCTTTCGGGACCGCTGCTTTGTAATCTCGGTTCGCCACCTTCACCTTCTTAAACGTCGTCAACCCGGCTCGTTTCTCGGCCCGCTGCACATGGGAGACATTGAGCTTGCCAACGACGTCCCGGATGGAGAGGTTACACACATAGAAATAACTAATTTTACACGAGACGTAATCCATATTGGACGTAAATCATGGAACGTAAACAAACAGTTCATGTAAAATTAAGTGTCCTCAAACCGAAACATAAGCAAATCGACGAAGAGAACGTTTCATTGAATTGATTTTCTTGTTTCTTTCAACTGATTCTTATGTCAAAAGTTCCGCTTACATGTGTCGGTCTCAGGGAACCTAAATTTACATGACATTTTCGTAGTGTGTAGGATTCCGCTTATATTTCACCGCCACCTTCTTGGTCGTCGCTGTCACGTCCGGATTACGATTACCGCCGCTTCCAGGCTTGTTTGCGGTCGACAGACGCTCCCCGAATACTTTTAAAACGTTTGTCACGGTCGATTTGGCCACATCCAGCAATGTTGCCAACTTGGCGTGCGAGAACGTCGGATTCTCTTGCTGCGCGAGCAAAATTTTGACACGCTGCTCCTCTTGCTTGGACGTCATTTTGAAAACTGGAGGGCAAACGGTGAAAACTCATCATATCAACCATTGTATATACACTCAACTTCCAAATGCAGCATTTCAGCACACTTAGAAATTATTAAAGACTTCTGTAATTTTTGACCGAACATCCAACAGCAGTTTCCCTAATTTTTAATTTCAAAACACTGTCAGTCTTGTTTATGCAATAGAGTCTCACCATTGTGGTGAAGTTTTCCATGTGAGGGAAGCCTTAAGCCTAACGAACAGTTCAGCTGTTGAAAGACAGTGATCATGTGATGTATGTAGGGTGGTTCTTATTACCATTGAAATTAAAAACATAACTTTTTTTTTGTATTTGCAGAAATAAATGAGTTTACACTTGGGCAAAGTTGTGCTACAACTAATTTCAACCAACTTTGTTCAACAAAACTTGTTTCTTTGTTTTGAATTGACCGCTTTGGACAATTTTTTCTCAATTGACCCATTGATTGCTCTATTTTTAATTTCAAGATACTCAGCTAAGTTGCCTGCAGATAGGACGATCGCAGTAGGCCGCGCTTGAAAGCTGACGTATTTTTCTTTTGTTGTGTATTTTTCGCCAGCGAATTGAACATTTTTTGCTTTAAATTTGTTAATTTGTGTGCTGAAATTTAGTTTCAAGTGTTCATAAAGTTATCATTTAGTGATGCCGTGAGTGACTCGGTTGACCTTGAATCTAACCTCCAAAATCTAAGACGCAGCTTTAGTTCCATTGATAGGTGTCGGTTTTCATTGCCTCCCGGGAGCCCGGTTCTCCGAGTTCGGATGCCACACTTTGGGCGTGTAGTTCCGAGATTCGTCACCGTGGGCGAGTTTGAACCCGGTCCGGTTGGTGAATTAGCCCGGGAACGTGCTGATAATGTGTCCGCTTGCAAAAATGCTCGGCTGCTGGTCTCTCGCCAGTGTCGGAGATTGCGAGCAATATGAAAGATGCCTCGCTGCATATGCCCAAGACTGGACGGGTGGTAGTTGGTGGTCGCGAACTGTTCCTGGGGAAAGCACTAGACGCGAACCTCGTGCCAGATGACCATGGCAATGCAAATTTGTGTTCGTTGAAGGAAGTATTACGACGACAAAAGTGCATCACGAAATGAGATCGAAAGCTTATAGAAAATCAAAACTACGGAACCCATTGGACGATCAAACTAACATGGTAAGACCAGTCCAAATAGGGGAAATGGCTCTAATGTTGACCTATGGATCTAAGATTGGGCCCATCGCTAAAAATCTGCTATTTATCAATTTTATCTAGATGAACGCGTCATTGGGACGGTACTAATGGATATATTTGGTTGCTATTGAAAATTTAGTCGATTGCTGAATTTATGTATGAGCCCAAATTAGGGGCATTTAGGCCGACATTACATCCATTTCCCCTAAATTTTAGAATTAAAAAAAAAAAAAAAACATAAACTAAATACGTGACAGGTTTCCTGCTGAATTCACATTGTAGGAAACTTCGTGAAAGTGCTGAAAATTAAAGAATCAAGACAGCCTTAGAGAAGTCCGTAAACTAGTTTAGATACTTTGCTTATTAGAAATATTACCTTAAACATTTGAATTAAGTGGATTAAAATTTCTTGCTGCTGTCCTAAAAATGACAGCAATTGGCTCGCGCAGCCCAACAAACAATTTGAACTAATTAAAAGCCATTTTTAGGTTAATAGGCATATTTTTTGCATGAATAAGCTCTCATTCAATTTTTAATGTTTGTTTGGTGCTTTCAGTTGTTCGTCCCTTTCTCATTGAATTTAAATGTAATGTAATGTAATTACAGTCGATTCTCCGTTAAAGGCTGACTAAGGCTGGCACGCCTCTAGTGTTGGGAATCGACAATCTTTGACAGTGGTTTGTTTACGCTTCAATAGAGAACAACTGGTGCAAGTTTGATCAAAGCAGTCGATCGCGTTCAGAAATAACGTCAAATGGAACTCGACTGAAGAAAAAATATTGTACACTAACACCAGGAAAATTCAGAGTGGTCCGGTTCCAAGCTGGTTAAAGTGCTGAAGATGCCGAAAACAACAGTTTGTCGAGTGCTCTAAACTTCAAAAGGAATCAGTGAACCTACGAAAAAACTGGAACCAGGGATCGTCAGCTGCGCGATAATGGGTAGAGATGCGTTAAAGCCAACC